ATCTAAGTAAAAGGTTATTTATACCTTAAGTGAGATTTTAATGGTTGTAGTATCAGTAGTTCACTTGAGGTTAATTTTGTACTTCCGGATCCCATGAACCAACTTTGAAAATAAAATGGTGAGAAGGAAACACATTTGTTCAATGTGTTTAAGCAAGTACACAGACCTACCAAAACATATTTAACAGGTTTACATGAAAGATAGGAGCTACAAAATACCTGGGAATTATATGGATGAATTTAGACATGAATATAGCAGGAAGTTGACCATAAAACTAGAAAAATATCATTACAAACCATGCAAAATATGCTAAATAAAATATCCAATGGCTGGACAAGCATAGATGCACCTTTGAGGAATAAGCTCTCTTAATAAATGTAATCTAAATTAAGAAAAAAAGTATGAGTGAATACTCCTAAGCATGGCACATTGTCTTATGACACTTGAGCTAGCCATTTAGCTAGCACATTACACCTTCTTGTGACAATTTGGCAAGCAGGTAACTGAAAGTCTCAGTGGTCACCATTATCTAGCTTAATGACCTGAACCTTCAGTATAGGACTTTAAAACTGACAAGTCATACCAGAACCATCCTGAATCTGCCTTAGTGTGCACTAGGAAGAGAACAAGGAGATTGATGTCAAATACAGACAAACAAAAAGTATATGAATTTTGGCAAAGCCCAACAGGAAAATAAAACAGATGATGAATATTGCAATATTTTTACAAAAGAATACTCTAAGGAAATGTGACACATTCTTGAGAGGATTTAAACAGAAGTGTAAATAGCTTTCATAAAGAATATCCTAATGTTCAAATGGATCCAAACCAACCCCGATTTCTTGATTTAGCCAGGACAAAAGATTGCCTTACATGAGGCCAACATTGTTATCAATGTTTGTATGCAATATAGCAAGGCACTTCAATACACAGGAGAAACAATTGAAACCAAAATTGGTGAAATGTGGTCTAATAGTGCATATTAGACCAAGTTAATCCTGGAGCCACTGTGGCAGTTTATACTGATGACAGTGAAGACTAATATGAACATGGATCAAGGGAACTATAAATTGGCGGAAATTCGAAATAGATTTTTGGTGAATTAATATGACGTATTGTTTTTATTTAACTTGTTTTGTAGCGCTTCAGTTCAGTTTTTTATAACAGTTTAAAAAGGATCCAGTTAGTATCCGAAACGTCCTGTTGAGTAAAATAAAGGTTGTGAAAAGAAAAAATAGTTTGTGGTCTACAATCTAATTAGAAAACATTTGGCTATTAACTTATACTGTATCAAGTTGAATGATGTATGTTATTTCCACACTTTTGTCTAATAAAAAGTAGAACTTTCGGTTATTTCAGATGTGTTTCTTATATTCTGGCAAACAGGATACAAGAAAATTGACTGCCCACATAAAACACAGCCTAAGGGTCCAGACTTCAGAGGATGGTATATGTTGTGTTAGACCAGAAAAAGAATGTATAGTATGTACACAATCAATTGCCAACTGTTTTTAAAAGACAGTGATGTTGACAGTGATGCTGGCGAAATCTCAGAGAAAGGTAAAAAAGACCTGCCAACCTCAAAACCAAAACAGCTCCAGTCGATTTTGTGAAATGAGTTATAATTTGACAAAAACAGTAACATCAGTTGAACATGCAGCACAAACAGGTATTTGTAAGCAAACAGAAAATATATGCCCACTTAATTTAAGTTATTTGCCAATTTGCAGTTGCAATATTTGAAACATAAAAACCAGTTCTGATATATTGTAAAGTATAAGGAAACTAACATCTAAAATGAGGTTGTAATCATCTTTTATCTCTTTTTTGAAATTTATTGAAATGTAATTTCTAGGTTCGGAGGAGTCCCCATAAAGCATATGTTATAAAATAAAACAAATAATTTACAGGTACCCCCTTTTTAGGTGACATTGTCACAGACATGCCTGGAGTTGAAGAGAAGGGAGATGCCTTAATTATTCTGGATGATACTCAACCTCCAATAATGATTCTCCCCAAGTTGTGAAGGATAATTTAGATAATGTTTGCATTTTATTTTACAATGACTGCTTTGTTTATCCTTTGAATATCTAAAACACTTGATTAATCATTTATGTTTAAAGAGAGAATCACACATAGCGGAGAAATGTATAAAATCCTTGGCTCATAAGTGACTAAATCACTTGAGCAACCAATACGAAATGAATGTGATTTGTATTTTTTAGTGTAAGACCTAGTATGGATAAGGCTGACTATGTTCTAGAATAGTGGTCATGCAATGAAATATGGATAAGGAAAATGTCAATCTTTCATTGTGAATAAACATAACTGTTGGGGGAATGCTTTCTCTTTGTCATTTGTTCTAAATTTTACACTTATTGACATCTCAGAAAATTAATTTCACTTCAAAATCACTTTTGAGGCGCTACTACCATGTAACAATCGAGCCATTATGCTATCTTTTGTATCATTGATGTGTTAACAATTATTCAGAGGGTGTTTAATGTCGACTAAAACTAGGGTAGTCAATCCCTTGTAGACTGTGCAACAATATTAGTCATTGTCAATAAGCATAATTAATTTCTAAAAATTAAATACTTAATAATGATATTTTGTATTTTGACTAAAAATGGGGTAGTCCAGTCAGAGTATGTTGCATAATAATACTAGTTTCCGCAGGTTATGTGTCTATTATTAATCATATAATAGGTCATTATTGCGTTTGTCGCATATCAGTATAAAATAGTGTCAATAAATGGCTGAAAAAGATATTTCAGAAGGCGTGGAACAGGGTGTGACACCCTCTCAATTTTCAGGTACAAGAAGTGGTCTTCTGGGTTGTCTCCATTGAAGCCCTCGGCTCAATCAACCTGGATAATACAGAAATTGTGGGAAATGCATCTGCAAAACTATCAAATACAAATGTGTTGGAACCACCTAGTGGTGAGCAGGTAGAAAGAATTACAAGGTTTGAATAATCAAGATGTATGTCCCAAAATCCGTAACACAGGTTACATTTGAACAAAACTACTCAGGTAGAACAAATAAGCATGCAAAACAATTAATGGTCAGTCATACACACATACAAAGATCCTGTCAATCAGTTACATTAAGGTATTCAGAGGCAAGTTTTGTCTCCGCCCGTTTCAAATACTAGCATACTCTTTGCCCTAAGTTACAGTGTGACCGGAAAAAAGGACAGCACTAAAGTAGGCAATATCTCCTAAACTAGACAAATGACATCAATGAAATCAGAACTGTTCTATGGAAATTTGTTCCTGCAGTTGACAAGCATATTTAAAAATGATAAGAATACCATGATACCGTTCATTCGTTTTGTAGCTTTCACATGTGACATTATGCAGTAGCACAGTGTACAACAACCATACAGATTATTTAAAAGACTCCAATTGACAATAATGACTTTTCAAATAATTTGCTGCATTACTGAACTATTTTTGCAGATGGTTGAGTGTTCATCAGGCAGTTGATGCTTTCATGAATGACTGGAAGCCACTGTGTACCACGCTTGAAGAGATGGCTGAGAATGATGCAGAAGGCAGGTGTCATCTCAACCGTGTGCGTAGCATCTGGTTCCTTGGTATCGCTGCTGCTCTACATGATATTATGCACATGTTTACCAAGATGTCGAAACTGTTTCAGACAGATGGCTTCACCTATGATATGAGTTTGTTAGCTTGTTTATTTTAGAATAGTTCTTCAAAGTCACATGTTCACAAGTCACATGTACATGTCACAAGTCCAGTAAAAGACCATGTTATTTTACTGATATTTCAAAGGAAAAAAACACATAACAGTTCAGAATTGTAATTTTTATGGCCATGTTTAAAGTCAATGAAATTCATGAAAATATCAACTCCAGAAGATATTTTGGGGTCTAAAATTCTTATCACTTCTTACGGCAGAGCAAATGCAATTAATGATGAAAAACATGTAGGTAGATTTTTAAGAAATGTTCATGTTTTTTGTTTTTTTGGAAAATGATTGCATGAAATTTTTGACGCATTTTTACTGAGCACATAATCATGATACTTAGTTGTTGCAGATCAAACAGACAAAAGGCCAAATTCAAAACTAATGAAAAAATTGTGTCCCAGATTAACACTTCCTCTTTCAATTAATTTCTGAAATTATTGATCTCAAGTCTTAACTGCTAAAATGGCTGCTTAAATGTTTAAATGACCGTGACTTAACACATTTCTTTTCAATTAATATGGAATTATTTATGGGCAAAGAATCTGTGCTCGACATTTTTCGATATATTTGTATCTTTTATTAATTTGGAAATATGATGTTTTCTGAGTGCCGTAAGGCCCATACTGTCCTTGGAATAAAACTTATATTCAATCCCTTCCAGTAAAAAAAATAAATAATAATGCCTGTATATTACTTTACAGGCACTGCTTAGAAAAGTTCATAAAAATCTTGAGGAGCAGCTGAGGGAGGAAAAGGAGGCGAGGAAATCAGACCTTCAGGAGCTTGAGGTAGCGGATGGGGGCCATCCTCAGGCAGAGTCAGAGATCAGACGGCTCTCTGCAATAAATGAGACATTGAGGAAAGAAAATACAGAGTTCAAAGTTGAGCTGCAGGGCATCCAGGCTCAGATTGCAGTGACTGGTTAGTAATCATGCAGAATTAAGTTATAGAGAAAGCATGAGTGAGAGTTGATTCTTTGAAAATAACAAGTAACCTACTGCTCTAGTAATAGCCAATTTTCAATGAACTATAGTAAACGTAGTGAGTGCACTGACCCGTGATCATTTGAATGGGCAATGGTGATTAGTATTGGATTTGTATGTATTGCATGTATGTACGCGGTGTCAACACTATGTTCAGTACAGTTAGTTGAACATTCGAGAAGCATGGAATACGAAAGGATGGATACCTTGACTTATAGGAGGAGTAAATAAATATGAAATAAATAGTAGTGAAATTGGCACATTTGATTTACGGTACAGTGGCGAAACATCCGACATATCAGAGCCTGAATATTCCTCCGATTCTAACACTAGATTTGGAAAACCTGTATCTGATATGGATATCGACAAGAAAAGCAGAACAAGACACACAGTGATAAATATCGCAAAAACATCCAAAGCCAATGAGCCAGCTGTTATATGTTTTTGTTGTACTGTGCAGTTTTGATCACTTGTTAAAATGCATTTTTGCTTTGTTCATTCAATTTCACAATATTCTATTCTAACAATGTGTCACAAAATAGCATAGGACTGTCAAGTGATTACTCTGATTTTTCATCAAAACCCTGATTTTTCGATTTTAATTAGATTTTCGTTAAAAACTCCTGGTTTATTGAATTTTTGCGGAAAATTCTGATTTTCCCCCAGATTATTTCTAACCCTGATTTTAAGAAAAATATGGGCTTAACCCACACCTGCTTTAAAGTAAGAAATATATCAGGCTTATCTAATTTCAGATGGTGGAGTTAGTTGATGGCAGTGGCGTGTTTGTATCCCAAATTACTGTCGCTGCCATCAGCAAACCTAAAATGGGTGGAAAACAAATAGCAAGAGTTTTGTTGGGCAAACTATTCACAAAGGATGAACTGCTTCATGGAACTATATCTAAGACTGCAGAAAAATACCTAAACCCCATCCTCATTAACACAATCATCTGTGAGTTTAAGCGTTAATTTCCTTGATAATTTAAAAACTTTTAGCTAAGCTTTGATAACATTGTGCCCTCACATTTCAAGTCCTCTATTTTAACAAATGTGATTTCCATCTCACTTTCTTAATGTCTGAACTAATGCCAAACAAAACCAAACTGTTTTTCAGCATATGCTAGATCAAGAGATGCATATACACCGGTTGGGCAGCTAAGAACGGCAATCTGTAATAAGTGCACAGGTGTACGGGACTACGCTGCTCGTCCATACAAACCACATAAAGAACGCTTAGATATTGTTGTAAATATTTATCAATTAGTTAAGTTATCAACATCAATCAGTCAAAAAGACATGTTAAAAAGCATGAGTTAGTTTACTAAATGTAATTCACCATTTATATACCACATATATACACCTACGGTCAAAATCTCCTTTATTTGCATTCATAAAAATCACACTAGTACATCTTTTGCTCTGCGGGTAATATACTTACTGTTTTTGTTTTAAATCTAAAACCTTTTACACAAAAAACAAAATGGCAGACAAAGGAATTATTTCTCAAGATCGCGAATCAGTAGAAAAATCTGATATGGAAAAATGTCTACAAATAGGAAAGGACCTCGGATATACCGAAGAAAAACTAGAAAAATTTGTATTTAAAGAATTAGAAAGACTCAGCAAAGAACAAGACAGGAAAGAGAGAATGAGCGAAAGAGAACACATAAAGACCATGGAAATAGGTGAACAAAGGCAAAGAGAATTGCAGTTAATAGGCGAACAAAGACAAAGAGAATTGCAGTTACGGATTAATCTGGAACAGATAAAGCATGACAATGCAGAAGAAGGCAGAACAGCTGAAAATACCGATCAACAAGAACCTTTCCAAGGTCATACACCAAAAATTCCTAAACTGCCTTTCTTCGATGAAAAAACAGATAACATAGACTCATATCTACTGCGATTTGAACGATATGCCTCTACCCAAAGATGGAGACAAGAAAACTATGCAATGTATTTAAGCGCACTCCTGAAAGGTAAAGCCCTAGAAGTATACACTCGACTGCCAGATACAGAATGCAATTCATATGAAGCACTGAAGTTGGGACTCTTAAAAAAATACAAAATGACTGAATATGGCTACAAAAGGAAATTCTACTCATCAAGTCCAGAAGATGGAGAAAGTCCTACAGAGTACATGTCCAGAATTGAGAATTATTTCATGAGGTGGATAGAACTAGCTGAAGTAAATAAAGAATTTGATGATATTTTAGACCTTATAGTCAGAGAGCAATTCTTAAATTCCTGCGGAAAAGCAATAGCTACATTCATACGAGAACACCAAATAAAATCAAGAAAAGATGTAATAGAAGAAGCCGATCGGTTTTGTAAAGCTCGTGGAATGAACACGTTGAAAGAAGATTATACGGGATATAAGAATAAATTCGATAGATCTAAAATTTACAAAAAAGACCACCCAGAAGATAAAAATGATAGCAAGGATGACAAAAATGATATTGAAGGTACAACCAAAAGAACAGAAATTAGCAGTAGAACCTGTTATCTTTGTTTTAAAGAAGGCCATATAGCAAGAGACTGCCCGAAGTCCATAGCCAACAAAAGAATTGTTAAGCTTGCTGCACTTCTAGCAGAATCAGACACAGACAGCAATGAAGACTTAAACACAAGTGATGAAGACCTATTCACAGCATCTTGTCAAATACTTAAAGAGAATCATGAGTGTGAAATTCAACCTGGAAATTCTCTCACATTATCTTGTGGGTGTAATATTGAAGTTGTAGGATCTTCGTGCAACTGTGATAACAAAACTGAGAATCTGTCAAAGTTACCTATTGAAATTGGATTCCTGGGGGATAAGAGAGTTCAGGTGCTAAGAGACACTGGATGCAGTGGTGTTGTTGTAAAATCAAGTTTAGTAACAGAAAAACAAATGACGGGAAAACAAAAGAAGTATGTAATGATCGACCGCACAATAAAATCTGCAAATGTTGCAGAAATTTATGTAGATACACCATTTTTTACCGGTCGAACAGAAGCTATTTGTATAGACAATCCTATATGTGAACTAATTATAGGAGAGATACCAGGTGCAACAATGGGAAACAAGAAATCTAACATGATTCAAGCACAATCTAAGAAAAAAGAGATTAGCACAAATGTAGCATCTAAGAAAACCAAAATCCAAAACAACAATAACCCAGACACAAATCTGGTGAAAAACATGGCATCAACAACAGTAAAAATACCAATAACAACAGCTGCAGTAGAAACTAGAGCTCAAACAAAACGAGAAGCCATACCGATCAAGAAACTAAAAGTTCCAACTTGTATCATGTCAGGAGTAGATAATAATGAGTTTATTCTAGAGCAGAAAAATGATACCTCATTAGAAAAAGTAAGACAACTGGCAACAAAGAAAGATGTAAAGCATACAAGAAACCAATGTTCCTATCATTTCGAATGGAAAAATGAAGTGTTACTCCGATATTTTACTAATAAGAAAGATACCATAACACAAGTACTAGTACCACTGAAATTCAGAAAACAAGTAATGCAAATAGGTCACGACTCATTATTGGGTGGACATCTTGAAACCCAGAAAACCATCGATAGGATAGTTGCTCAGTTTTACTGGCCTGGAATTCACGGTGATGTGAAACGATATTGTCAATCATGTGACATATGTCAGCGCACCACACCCAAAGGCAAAGTTACAAAGGTTCCCCTTCAAAAGATGCCTTTAATTTCCACGCCATTTCATAGAGTTTGTGTAGATCTAGTGGGACCTTTGATACCAGTAACAAACTCCAAGAATAGGTACATACTTACCCTAGTCGATTGCGCAACAAGATATCCAGAAGCAGCTGCTTTGAAATTTATTGATACAGAAACTGTAGCAGAAGCTCTAGTAAAAATCTTCTCGAGAGTTGGTTTTCCCAGAGAAATGCTTGATGATCAGGGTTCTCAATTTTTGTCAGAAATCATGAAATCAGTTTGTCGGCTTCTATCAATAAAGCAAATAGTAACCACACCTTACCATCCACAAACCAACGGCCTAGTGGAACGGTTTAATGGCACTCTCAAAACCATGCTAAAGAGAATGTGTGCTGAAAAACCCAAAGATTGGGATCGCTACCTAGAGCCACTACTGTTTGCATATAGAGAAGTCCCTCAAGAAACCACACATTTTTCCCCATTTGAACTTCTTTATGGTCGCACTGTAAGAGGCCCAATGACAATAATGAGAGAACTTTGGACAAAAGACATACCAGACGAAGAAGTGAAAACTACTTATCAATATGTCGTTGACCTACGCAACAAATTAGAAGAAACATGTAATGTAGCTCAAGATATTATACAAAACAACCAAGACAAATACAAAAAGCATTTCGACAAAAAAACAAAACCCAGAAGTTTAATACCAGGAGATAAGGTACTGATGCTGTTGCCAACAGACCACAATAAATTGCTGATGCACTGGAAGGGGCCATATGAAGTCATAGAAAAAAGAGGAATAAATGATTACCTTATAAAGAAAGGTGAAACTACTAAGCTCTACCACATCAACATGCTGAAGAAATACCATGAAAGAAATGACCAAAGCAACATTATTGATCCAGATGAAGGCATTAAATCTATTGAACCATCACACATGACAGCTGTGATAGCGATTATTGAGGAAGACGAGGAGGAAGAGTTCAACAATGATTGCCTTATCGATCAGTGTATTGGTAAGCAAGAAACTGTAGCTGATATAAATATCAATGAAAAACTAGACACTCAGCAAAAGATACAGCTTAGAAATCTTACGAATAGAAATGCGGGCATTTTTTCATCAGAACCAGGGTGTACTAACCTCATTGAACATGAAATAGAAGTCATCACGAATGAACCAACATGTAGAAAACCATTCCCAATTCCTTATTCAGCAAAAGAAACAATTGAGAAGGAAATAGATGACATGATCAAATATGATGTCATAGAAAAAGCAAATTCACCATACTCCTCACCATTGTTTCTAGTTAAGAAAAAAGATGGTACCAATCGCCCTGTTATTGATTTTCGACACCTCAATCGGATCTCAGTTTTTGATGCTGAACCTATGCCTACAGCTGAAGCTATATTTGCTAAGTTATCCAAGGGAAAAATATTTTCCAAACTGGATTTCTGCAAGGGGTATTGGCAAATACCAGTAAAAGTAGAAGATCGTGACAAAACAGCTTTCCGTACGCCAAGAGGTCTATTCAGATTCAAAAGAATGCCATTTGGACTGAAAAATGCTGGAAGTACATATACCAAGATGATGAGAATACTTTTGGAAGGTTTAGACCATGTAGAGAACTTCATCGATGATGTCATCATATAAACTGAAAATATGGATCAACATATCGCTATTCTCACTGAAATATTCATAAGAATCCATGAGGCGGGATTGACGGTAAAACCCTCCAAATGCTATTTTGGCTACAGTTCCCTTGAATTTATTGGTCATGAAGTAGGAATGGGTCAACTACACACACAAAGACAAAAGGTTGAAAAGATAGTAAAAGCCAAAATACCCACAAACAAGACTGAACTAAGATCTTTCTTAGGATCAATAGGATATTACCAAAAGTTTATTCCGAACTTCGCAACCATTGCAGCTCCTCTAACAGATCTCACTAAAAAAGGAAAACCAAATGTTCTGAAATGGGAAGATGAACATACAGATGCCTTTGAGAAACTGAAAACTAAATTAAGTACCCATCCAATTATAAGATTACCTGATTTCGAAAAGCAGTTTTTTCTCAGAACTGATGCATCTGACGTGGGCTTAGGAGCAATACTGATGCAAGAGCATGATGAAATGATGCACATAGTAGCAACAGCAAGCAAAAAACTTTCTCCGAGAGAGCAGAATTACTCCACCATAGAGAGAGAATGCATGGCCATAGTGTGGGGCATAACCAAATTTCAAGAATATCTCTATGGTACCACCTTTACCATACAAACTGATCATGAACCTCTAGCTTATCTAGAAAGAGCAAAACAAGCCAATTCTAGACTGACAAGATGGTCATTATTTCTTCAACAGTACAACTTCAAAGTTCACGTCATCAAAGGATCTGAAAACATTGATGCAGACTTCTTGAGTAGAAATGTGTAAATTTCTTACCATTATCTTCCATTTAGAAGTATTGTATTTCTAAACATCTTCTGCCTCAAGAAATTGAAACATT